GGCTTATTTCACTGAGTGTAATACCCTCTAGCTCCATCCATGTTGTTGCAAATGGTAGGATTTGTTTTCTTCTTATGGCTGAATAATATTCCATTGTGTATATGTACCACATCTTCATTATCCATTCATCTACTGATGGACACTTAGGTTGCTTCCATTTCTTGGCTATTGTGAATAGTGCTGCGATAAACATAGGGGTGCATATGTCTTTTTCAAACTGGGCTGCTGAGTTCTTAGGGTAAATTCCTAGGAGTTGAATTCCTGGGTCAAATGGTATTTCTATTTTGAGCACCCAACTTTTTAATTTCATTATTAGTGTTGCCAGAACTGTTTGTGAAATAAATTTAAATTTTGTCCTAAGTAAAGGATCTATCCCTGATCCTGGTATTAGTGAGATGGAAGTGCCTTTCATATCACAATATCTTTTCATCTTTAATCTATGTCTATTGGCGGGCTTAACCCAAGTCATATAAACAAGGTGGATCATAAAGAAATCTTTGGGAGTGGTGAAAGGAAAATGTTGTGGTTATGTAGGTTTTTTTTTTTAAAGTAGCATTGATAAACAGACTTATGATGGTTTCACATACACAAAACAGTGGTTCAACATTCACCCATATTATCAAGACTCACCGCCCTCTGTTGCAGTCACTGTCTATCAACATGGTAAGATGTTATAGAGTCATTAATAGTATTCTCTGTGCTGTACTACCATCCCAGTGACCTACCTATGTTGTGATTGTGAGTTATAGTGCCCCTTAATCCCTTTCTGCCTCCCCACTCACCTTCCCCAACCTGTTGGTTACCACTAGATACCTTCTTGGTATCTATGAGTCTACTGCTTTTTTTGTTCCTTCTGTTTTGCTTTGTTTTTATATTCCACAAATGAGTGAAATCATTTGGTATTTATCTTTCTTTGTCTGCCTTGTTTCACTGAGCATAATACCATCTAGTTCCATCCATGATTTTGCAAATGGGAGGATTTCTTTTCTTTTCATGGCCAAATAACATTCCATTGTATATATGTACCATATCTTCTTTAACCATTCATCTACTGGTGGACATTAGGTTGCTTTCATATCATGGCTATTGTAAATAGTGCAGCAATAAACAGGATATGTATTTTTTAATGTTAAATTTGGAAAAGAGGAGAAAATGTTGTTTTTATAATATAAGCTATAAATATAAAACTTGACTAAATCTTGAATGATGGGTCTATATAGAAGACAAAGGTACCAGAATTTTGGAGGCAAGTAGATTTTAATATTTAGCAAAAGAGACCCCACATGGATTTCAGAAGTTTGAAAAATATGGCTTGAAATGCTTTCCTAAAACTACCCTCTTGACACTTTAAGAAAATTATCAAGGGCCTTGAAATAATGCAGTCCTACTTTAGCAAATAATTCTATGTGAATTATCAAAATAGCCATAGATTTATGTACAGCAGTATTTCTCTGGGATTTATTTGTAATTGTGAACATTTAGGAGAAAATCTATGTCCACAAAAGGGAAGTAAATAAATTGAGTACATCTATACATCTATCCAGTAAAATTCTACTGAATAATTAAATGTCATGTCTTGGAAAAACATTTAATGCCATAGTAAAATGCTGAGGATGAAAATAAGGTACAAAGTGGTAACGATTCAATATTTGAAGGAAAAAAAGCACATTTATACACAGAAAAGGAATGGAATCAGTACAGCTACTTTGGAGAACAATTTGACAATGCCTGTAAAGTTGAAAATGTGCAGACTACAATCCAATATTAATATGGTTGATATACCAACAGATGAATAGAATACTATTCAGATGTCAAAACTAACGATTCGGATCTATAAATCTTCAACAGAGATGTATCTTATATCTCAACAGAGGTAGCTCTAAAGACAATGTTGAATCTTTAAAAAGTAAGTTGCAAAATGATATATATGTATAACATTATTTATGTAAAAAATTTAAAACACGTGCAATAACACCAAATATCATTGGCATATACATGTGTAGGGTGTAAACATAAAAGCACAACCTGGAAGAATACAGATCAGAATCATGAGGGTTGTTGCTTTTAGGGAGGAAGGCAGGGGAATAGGGCTAAAAAGAAATGCAGTAGGGGTGGAGATAGTATTTAACTTCATCTATAATATTTTCTAAGTGTTTTATTGCAAAAAAAAATAAGCAAGACTGACAAAATGCTTTACAATAAGAATATGGGGAGGTAGTTCATTGTTTATTATAGTAAACTCTTTTTTTAGTTGTGCTTTTAAAACTTTCTAACCACAGTGATTGAAAGGAAATACATACATGTTTACAATGGTTATTATTCAACAGTGAGATTATAGCTCAATTTAATTTTCATCTTCAAATGTCTGAATTTTCCAAATTCACAAAATGAAGGCTGAGAAAATCAGTGTCACTTACAAATAAGTTGAAGATAACTATATAGCTACTAAATCTCTACTCTGTGGGGGATTCCTAGGCCCTTACAACTGACCTGCCTCTAGAAGGCTGAAGTATCAGCAAAAAAAGGATAACCTCCCAGGGAAAGAAGGAAGTAGAAGGCCAGCTGCCCACGTGGTGTGTAGATGTAAGGCCAGCCACGTCCTGGGAGAGAACCAGGGGCATTAGTCTAAGCCAGTGGGTCTCAAACTTGAGCATGCATTAGGATCACCTAGATGGCTTGTGAAAACACAGATTGTCCACAAATTTCTGGGGCCAGGCCTGCCTGTAAATTTGCATTTCTAACAAGTTCCTAGATGTTACTGACGATGCTTATCCCAGGATCATGTTTTGAGAACTGCTGATCTAAGTAAAACCCAGTCATCAGATATTGTATTTTTGATTACTGAAATATGAGAGAGACATTTGGCAAGAAACAAGTAGTATTATCTGGCAGATTCACAAATTACTTAATGGAGTGAGCCATCTAGTCTCAGGGAAGTTATAGTCACATACAGGAGCAAGCAGACCAAAAAAAAAAAAAATTCATCAATTATAAAGTTCAAAAGTAGGGAAAACAAGAGCCAGTCCAATCTAATGATCATAGAGATTTCTTTAAGAAAAGCAAAGTAGTAAGTGAGCATGAATCAGGACTATAAAAACACAGGTTCAATCATCAGGGTCTATTTCTATTTGACAGAACTGTGAGTCTAGGATGGCCCAAGGTTCGTATCTCTTTTGTATCTTTCACCCACTAGGCTGGAAATTCCTTGAGAACAGGGACGAATGCTTCCTTGCTCTTTCCATCCTTTCTCATCCTCCCTCCCTCCCTCTTTCCTTTTTGTTCTTCCATGCTAAGTAGCTCTTTAGTGCAAAACAGTGCCCTGGCTTTGGATAAAGTGGCATTGAACCATCTTTGTAGTCCTGCACATGGCATAGTACCTAGTTCACAATAGCTGCTCACTAACTGTTGAATGAAACATGAATAAACACATACATAATCAGCTGGGGTTAAAGGTGCAGTGAATGGGAGACAGAAAAGGTACACTATACCTGCAAGAGGGTCATTTCTGTGAGAAGCATAGACATGGTGGAGGGGGCCCAGCAATGCAAATTAGCAGCCTGAGACACCATTGGTAAAGTTACTGTTTAGTATTTTTCTTTTTACCCCACATTTTTCCTAATAAATTTTCCTTTTCCCATTGCCTGCCTATTTCTCACACCCATATCTATGGTTCCTGACTTCCAGTTAAATGATTACATGCTTTATTCCAGCACCTTTAATATAAGAGCCAAAGCTGTAAATAAGGCATAGCCTAAATGTATGATGCCTTTTATAAAGTATTCTCCTGCTTTCCAAAGAAAAGATCCAAAAAAAAAGGTTTGGGGCTAACTTAAATATATAGACTTTTAGGAGTGTAGATTAGTTTTGTGTCTTTTTACACTGTTTAATTTGTTAGATTGTACGTGCATATTTAAAACATTGTCTAAAGTATTAATTTTTAATTTAAATTTTGTGAAATAGTCTTAATACTTTCATATGAGTCTTCAGTCATGTAACACAGTTTACCAGAGCATATCACCTCATTTCCAGTTAAAATATCTGAGATACAGTATGTTTTAATCTGTGGATAATGCTTTTAGTGGTAATTCTTATCAAAAACCACAAGTCCTACTCATTTAACAGGAGAACAATTTTTTTTTCATTCATCTCTTCCTGTAGTTTCATGAGTCCCACAATGTAATCACAAACTATACTAATTTGTAAATTGATTATAGAAAGGCTTGTTTACCACAACAAATGCTAGCAAGTATAACATCACATTCTCTACCAGGATTAAGTACTAAATCTTTTAAAAATTTATTTGCATCTTTTTTTATTTAACAGTCCCATTAAGGTGACCTCTTGTAAGCATCCCACACTAGCAGTGATTTCTCCTATTTGTAGCCTGTATCTGTTCCTCAGACAGCACCCTATGACTTAATACAGGAATTAAGAGAGTAACCTGTAATAGAAGGGAATTTATAAATCTTAAATATAAAACAACACCCATTCCTATATTCAAAAACAGTGAGGGAAAATCTCTTATATTTGAAAATGTGCTTTAAGTTTGTTTTCTTTTAAAAAAAAGAAAACTTTTCTTCTTTAAGCCAGTATGATGCTTAGAAAAGAAAAGAAGTCACAGGGGTATGTAGAATTAAGGAGTGACAAAATATGATTGGATTAACATACAACTTTCCAGTTGTTAGGTCATAAGATGTGATAGATAGATTTTTATTGTGAGTTAGAAGGAGGTGTGTGTCAGAGAGAGAGAGAGATGCCAGAATTATGGGCCTGTCTCTAGTAATTAGAAAGTTGTATGTGGTGAAAAACAAGCAAATCATTGTGACTGGAGTAAATGGATCAAGTTAGAAGAAAGTAAGTTGAATTTGACACGTTATTTTGACAGCAGAGAACATCAGAATGGTTCGGTCTGGTTAGCAGTTCATTCTGTTATTAAAAGTATGTAGCTTCCCGGTTTTTCAACAGTAAATATATAGATTACATATTTATGTATGTTTCAGGCTACATTGTTGGAATTTTGAAGACATGAAAACGTCAGATGAACCAACCTGCAGCATCTTGAATTCAGATTGGAAGATGAAGAGAAAGTTTAAAGAATGTGGCCTATAAAGGCGGGTAGTACCTGGAAATATTAACTGACTCACACCATAAAAATGAGACCGGTTTCTAAACAATAGAGGTTATTTTAATCCAACATCAAGGTTCAAGACAAAATGTTGAACTAAAAACTTTACACTCCTCCCCTCCTCACTTCAGACAGGTACCAGCATTGGTGAATATGATTTTCCTTAGTCAGAAGCACTCATTTTTACCCATGTAGACCATCCTGAGGAATTAAATATTGGTTATTTAATGTAGATTATAATGGGAAACTGATTTTTTCCATAATGGCAGATTTCAAGGACTTGGTTCCAAACTGAGCCGAAGCTTCCCAATGCATTTTGTACAGTCTGGGAAAAACTGCTGCATTGGCCATTTTTGAAGGCCATCATGCCCTGTAATATAAGGATATCATCTTATTGCTGATATCTTTGGAGAGTCCCATGCAGACACAGAAAATGAATGGAGGCAAGGAGTGTGACGGAGGGGACAAGGATGGAGGTCTTCCAGCTATACAAGTTCCTGTGGGTTGGCAGCGTCGTGTGGATCAAAATGGAGTGCTTTATGTCAGGTGAGCCCCTATTTTATCTGTGTTACCTCCAAGTTTGCAGTCCCCAAATTCAGGAGGTAGAGGCTGTTCCTCAAAAGGAGTGAAATATCATGACTGATAGCACCTCAAATTAATTTGGGTAAGTTGCCTTCATGCTAGAACTATGCAAGTATTTTTATTCTGTACAACTTTGCAATGTAAATTGCCTTGGGTTACAAGGGAGAATTCTTATGTATTACTTGTGTTCATATACAGTGTCATTTTGCTTATCTCTGTAACAAGGATAAAGAAAAATAAGAATATTTCTAAAAGAAACACGTAAGCAACATTACCACATTCACAGAAGAATAGACCTGTAAAATAATAGAAATAGACCTGATGTCTCTTGACAGTATTATTCTATCCTTCATAGTGCTTCAGCCAGCTTTTCTGATGTAAGGTTGACTGTTTTTATTTATGGGCAGTTTCAGTTATTATACTTCTTAACGCCTGATGCTAACTAATAATAATTTCCCTTTTTTTCTGTGCAGTTTTAATCTATTCCCTTGCATATAGTAGCAAAAAAAGAAAAATTCATGATAGAGATGGCTTTTCATCTCACAAGTAAAAATTATACAAATAAAAGGCAAATACCTGCAATTTAAATTTTGATGGCCTGTATCTCATATAGAACAGGTTGAATGGAATAACTGAATTGCTGGTGAGAATTTTTAGTCTTTTTTTTTAAATGACTGAAGCACAATTAGTTAAGCATAATTAATACACATTATTTGTTTCATGTGTACAAGATCGTGATTCAATATATTACAAGATGGTTACTACAATAAGTGTAGTTACCATCTGTCACCATACAAAGTTATTACATTTTTTACTGTCTTCCCAATACTGTACATTATATCCCTATGTTTAATTTATTTTATAACTAGAATATTGTACTTCTTAATACCCTTCACCTATTTCATCCATTTCTTCACCATCCTCACCTCTGGTAACCATCAGTTTGTTCTTTCTGGGAGTCTGTTTTTATTTTGTTTTGTTCGCTCGTTTGTTTTGTTTTTTTTAGACTCCATATGTACGTGAAATCATATGGTATTTGTCTTTCTCTGTGTGCTTTATTTAACTCAGCATAATACCCTCTAGGTCCGTCCATGTTGTCTCAAAGGGCAAGATTTCATTCTTTCTTGTGGCTGAGTAACACTCCTATGTATATGTGTGTTTGTGTACACCGTGTCTTCTTTATCTATTCATCTATCAATTGACATTTAAGTTCCTTCCATATCTTGGCTATTTTAAGTAATGCTAAGGTTAACATAGGGATGCATATGTTTTTTCAATTAGTGTTTTTGTTTTCCTCAGAAAAATACCTAGAAGTAGAATTGCTGCATCATATGGTAGTTCTATTTTTAATTTTTTGTTTTCCATAATGGCTGCTCCAGTTTCCATTCCTGCCCACAGCCAACACTGGTTATGTATTGTCTCTTTGATAATAGACATTCTGACAGATGTGAGGTGATACCTCTTTTGGGATTTGATTTGCATTTCCCTGATAATTAGTAATGTTAGGCATCTTTTCATGTGCCTATTTATTTACCTTCTTTGCAAAAATGTCTCTTTAAGTGTTTTCCCATTTTTTAATTTGATTTTCTTTTCATATTGAGTTGCATGAGTTCTTTATAAATTTTGGATGTGAACCCTTTATCACATATGTAATTAGCAAATATCTTCTCCTATTTAGTAGATTGCCCTTCTGTTTTCTTGATGGTTTCCTTCACTGTGCAGAAGCTTTTTAGTTTGACGTAGTCCCATTTGTTTATTTTTGCTCTTGTCCTTGCCTGAGGAAAAAGATTCAAATAAAGATTGCTAAGACCAATGTCAAATAGCTTACTGCCTGTGTTTTCTTCTGGGAGTTTTATGGTTTCAGGTCTTACATTTTATCCTTTCATCTATTTTGTTTATTTTTGTACAGGGTGTAAGAAAGTCATCCAATTTCATTCTTGTCCATGTGGCTGGAGACTGTCTTTTCCCCATTGTACACTCTTACCTCTTTTGTCATAGATTAATTGACTATATATCCACGGGTTTCTTTCTGGGCCCTCTGTTTTGTTCCACTGGTCTATGTTTGTTTTTATGACAGTACCGTCTTGTTTTGATTACTATAGGTTTGTAATATAGTTTGAAATCCAGAAATTTGTTAACTCCCACTTTATTCTTCCTTCTCAAAATTGCTTAGGATATTAGAGGTCTTTTGGAGTTCTGTATAAATTTTAGCATTATATGCTCTAATTCTGTGAAAAATGACCTTGGTATTTTGATAGGGATTGCATTGAATCTGTAGATTGCTTTGGGCAATGTGGCCATTTTAACAATATTAATTCATCCTATCCATGAGCAAAGAATATCTTTCCATTAATCATGTCTTCTTCAATTTCTTTCATCAATGTCTTGTATTTTTCAGATTACAGGTCTTTCACCTCTTCCTAGGTATTTTGTACTTTTTGATGCAATTACAAATGGGACTGTTAAGTTTTCTTTCTCATAGTTTGTTATTAGTGTATAGAAATACAAAAGGTTTCTGTGTGTTGATTTTGTATACTGCACTTTACTGTATTCATTTATTCAAACAGATTTTTCAGTGGAGGCTAAGATTTTCCCTCTATATATACTATCAGATCATCTGCAACTAGTGACAGTTTTAATTCTTCCTTTCCAATTTGGATGCCTTTTACTTATTTTTCTTGCATTATTGTGGATTACCAATACTATGTTGAATGAAAGTGGTAAGAGTGTGCATCCTTGTCTTTTTTTTTTTAATGGGAGGGGTGGGTAGGGGCAGTGACATTGCTCTTAAGTGTGTTATTTTTGTATGAAGTTTTTATTTCTTATATTACTATTTTAATAAGTTCAAGTTATTTTACAACTCCTGGAATGTGGGCATCCCTGCCTTTTTCCTAATCTTAGGAGGAAAGCTTTCAGCTTTTCACCATTGAGTATAATGTTAGCTGTGAATTTGTTATATCTGGTATTTATCACATTGATGTTCCTTCCCTCTATACCCACTTTTTTAAGCATTTTCATTGTGAATGAATGTTAAATTTTGTCAAATGCTTTTTGTGCATTTATTGAGATGATCAAATGATTTTTATCCTTCATTTTTGTTAATGTAGTACATCACGTTGATGGATTTGCAGATATTAAACAATCCTTGCATCCCTGGAATAATCCTACATGGTCATGGTGTATGATCCTTTTAATGTACTGTTAAATTCAGTTTGCTATTGTTTTATTAAGGACTTTTGCATCATGTTCACCCGATATATTAGTTTGTATATTTTATTGTGGTGTCTTAGCCTGGTTTTGGTTTTAGTGTGATTCTGGCTTTGTACAGTGAGTTTAGGAGTGTTCATGTCTCTTCAATTTTTTGGAATAGTTTGAGAAGGATTAACTCTTCTTTAAATATTTAATAGAATTCACCTGTGAAGCTGTCTGGTCCTGGACTTTTGTTTTTTGAGAGTGTTTTTATTACTGCTTCAATTTCATTACTAGTAATCAGTCTGTTCAGATTTTTTATTCCTGATTCAGTTTTGGAAGATCGTATGTTTCTAGGAATTTATCTGTTTCTTCTAAGTGTCCAATTTATTTGTGTATAATTTTCATAATAATCTCTTATGATCCTTTGTGTTTCTGTGGTATAATTTGTAACTTCTTTTCATTTCTGATTTTATATATTTGAGCCAACTATTTTTCTTGATAAATCTGGCTAAAGGCTTATCAATTTTATCTATCTTTTCAAAGAACCAACTCTTAGTTTCATCTATTTTTCCAATTATTTTTTAAGTCTCTATTTTATTCATTTACCCTCTGATCTTTATTATTTATTCTTTCTACTAACCTTGGGCTTTGTTTAGTCTTCTTTTTCTAATTCCTTTAGGTTTAAAATTAGATTGTTTATTTGAAATTTTTCTTATTTCTTGAGCTGGACCTATATCCTTATACTTTCCTCTTAGAACTGCTTTTGCTGTGTCTCATAGGTTTTGGAACATTTTGTTTTCATTTTCATTTGTCTGAAGGTATTTTTTTTATTTCTTTGCTGACCCATTGGTTGGTTAGTAGCATATGATTTACTCTCCAATGTTTGTGTTTTGTCTGGTTTTCTTCTTACATTTGATTTCTAGTTTCATACTATGGTGATCAGAAAAGATGTTTGATATTATTTCAGTCTTCTTAAATGTATTGAGACTTGTTTTGTGACTTAACATGTGATCTATCCTGGAGAATATTCCATGTACACTTAAGAAGAATGTGTACTCTGCTGTTCTGGGATGGAATGTTCTGATATGTATCTATTAAGCCCATCTGGTTTGATTTGTCATTTAATGCCAGTGTTTCCTTATGGTTTTTCTGTCTGGATGATCTATCCATTGATGTAAGTGGGGTGTTAAGGTCCCCCACTATTGTATTCCTGTCAATTTCTCCTTTTGTATTAGTTAATTTTTGCTTTGTATATTTGCATGCTCTATTAGGTACCTATAGTAATTTTTGGTTTATGGTACTATGCAGTTCATATATAACAACCTGTACATATAGCAGCCTCTTTTAAATTGGTGATCACTTAAGTTCAAAAGCATTTTAAAAGCACTACATTTTTGCTCCCACTTCCCACATTTTATGTTTTTGACATCATATTTTACTTCATTTTATTTTGTGTATCCCTTAACTAGTTATTGTAGATACAGCTTATATTACTACTTTTGTCTTTAAACTTTCATACTAGCTCTGTAAGTGATTGATCTGCTACTTTTACTATTCTTTGCCCTTACTAGGGACATTATTTTTCTTTCATATATTTTCTTATTTCTGATTATGTCCTTTTCTTTTCCACTTAAAGCAGACTTAAAATGATATTTCTTGTAAAACTTCATTAGTGGTGATGAACCCATTTACCTTTTGCTTGTCTGGGACACATTCTATCTCCCTTTCAGTTCTGACTGAAAACCTTGCCAGATAAACCATCTTGGTTGTAAGGTTTTTCCTTTTAGCACTTTGAATGTGTCATGCCACTCTCTTCTGATTTACTATGTTTCTGATGAAAAATCAGCCAATAGTCTTATGAGAGTTCCCTTATACATAACTCAGTCTCCTCAGTCTTTAAGTTTTTACTTTTAATTATATAATGTATCTTGATGTTGATCTCTTTCAGTTCATCTTGTATGGGATTCCCTGTGCTTCCTGGACTTGGATATCTGTTTTCTTCCCCAGGTTAGGGAAGTTTTCCACTATTATTTTGCCAAATAAGCTTTCTGACCCTTAGTGTCCCTTCTTTTTCAAGGCCCCCTGTAATGCAATTGTTAGTACACTTGATGTTGTCCTAGAAGTCCCTGAGACTATCCTCATTTTCTTCTAATTTTTTTTCTCTTCAGTTTGGATGATTTCTATTACCCTGTCTTCTAGATAATGGATCCATTCTTTTGTATCACCTAATCTGCTGTTGGTTTATTCACTTTTGTGTACTTTTCATTTCTATTATTCTTTCTTCAGCTCTGACTGATGCTGTCTTATATTTTCTAACTCCTTGTTGAAGTTCTCACTGTGTTTCCATTCTTCTCCCAAGTTCAGTGAGTGAGTAACTTTATAACCATTACTTTGAACTCTTTGCCAGGTAGATTGCTTATCACTGTTTCATTTAGTTCTTTTCCTGAGGTTTTGTCTAGTTCATTCGTTTGGAACATATTCCTCTGTCTCCTCATTTTGCCTAACTACCTGTGTTTATTTCTGTGTATTAGCTTAGCTATGTCTCCCGATTTTGAAGGAGTGGCCTTATGTAGGAGATGTCCTAGGAGCCCAGAAATGTTATCCTTTCTGCCCACCAGAGCCAGGTTCTCAAGGGATGTTCTTTGTGTGGACTGCATGTCCCTTTCTTTTGTGGCACAGCTGTGACTGCTACAGCTCACTAGTGGACAAGTTATCATCCTGTCAGCTACAAGGCCCAGCTGAGGGGCAGGGTTTTGCTGGGCTCTTAGCAGAGCACACCCTCTGGCAATAGCAGTCTAGACAGAGGACTCCAAAATGGCACCCACCAGTACCAGTTCAAGCAGTACCACCCACCAGCACAGCAGAACAAGGTAGCAGAAATAGCCACTGCCAGTGTCTCAGATCCTGGGGTCAGGCCCAGCTGCCTACTGTGTCTCCAGCAGGTGCTCTGAGATTAGTGAGTTGGTCTCCTTCGTCTATGGTCTATGCACTTTTAATCTGGCATTTTGCACTGGTTTCCAAGTTGAGTGAGACTATGCAAGCCCTTCAAGAGTCAGTTTCCCTTTCTATAATTATATAGCTTTTCTGTAGGTATTTTCTGTTGATTACCAAAGCCAGGTGTTTGGGGAGCTCATCTCACCCATGCAGAATCTAGGGGTTGTGGTGCCTGATAAGAAGCTTGAATCTTTTGTCCTCTGAGCAAACTTCTATACCTTTGAGATCCCTCATGACTATGGAACACTGTGCCTGAGGTGTGGATTTTTCCTTATCAACACTGTAGCTCTGCCTTTTCTAAGCCATCTCTGTCCCTGATATTGGAGTCTCTATTCATCCAGTTTCTAGGTCCCCTTCAGAGAGAATTATTCCATATGTAGTTGTAGATTTGTTGTGTCTCTGGGATTAGGTGAGCTCAGGATCTTCCTACAATGACATCTTGAACCCTTGACCAAATTTCAGTCTTATTATTAAATAATTGGTACCTGTGTTCCTTATAGTTTATAAGGAAGTATATGAAAGGTTAGTATAACATAAGTCTTTCTCTGTGATATAATAAAAGCCATTAGAAATAGACTTAATTTTTTTCAAGAGATATCACATTGCTTTGTTACATTAATCTTATGACTTTCAATGTGGTTATTTGTATCCCAACTTCAAAGAAATTGTCCATTTGTACCAAGATATATTTATATGAATGAGGTGTTTTGCATTATATAAATATAATTTCATGCTATAGCAATTCAAAAGTCAGCTCAAATTCTATCCTAAGTTTGTTTTGTATGAGATGTTTCTTGAGGTAAACTTAATTACCAATTGAAATTCTTTTGCATGCAAGGTTTTTGTTTCTGTAATATTAAAAATGTGCTCTAATTAATTATTGTGAAGGGATAAGAAAGCAGAGAATGTGGAGTTCATACCATGATAGGTATGATTGACTAGGACACATGGGATAACCTTCTGAAAGTGTTCCTATTGCCAATGCTGTTAAAAAAACTGCCAGAAGTATGTTGTAAAAAATATGATAAGGCAAGATATCAGTGTTACTCTTCACATACGGTTTAGTCTGTTAGGAACAAATATATATTCACCTTATATAGCAAAGATCCTAAAACCTTGGCGATTTTATTTATTTATTTATTTATTTATTTATTTATTTATTTATTTATTTCACTTCATTTTCATCCCAATTGAAAGGTCAATCAGCTTTTCACATTACTGAGACTTAAGTTAAATCAAGTTGATTCTAGAAATCATCAGTTATCTTGTTTATGATTTTCCAAGTCTGAGTAGACTTACTATTTGTTACTGTGAGTTAGTGTGAGTTCTCCAAATTCACATCTGTACACTAAGAATTATTTTGGAAACTAACTCTGCCAGATAAGGTAAAATACCTTCAAATAAATTACACCAGCATGGCTTTGATTTATTTGCATATAACTGTTTATTACTTGAACATACATAGGAAGCGGCATTCCTTCTTTACCTCCATTCTCAATGTGTAGTTTGCTTGTAATTTTTAAGTTAGTCTCCAGCTGCTCTTGCGTTAGGGTGGCATTGAGGCTGCACATTAAATTTACCACCTGCTTCTAATCTTCTAAGCTTTATCTCTACTGTAAGACTTAAAACTATTTTTATGTTAATTATTACTCCAAAAGTTAATTAAAGAGCTACAACTAAAAGAAAGAACCCAACTGACAAGAGAAAGTGTTTTTAAAGTGTCTAGAGTGGAGTCCTGTAAGAGAATTCAGGAATTCTTGTCTTCAAATCTAATTTTATAATTAAATTCCTCTAGGATTCAGTCTGTACACTTTCTTTAACTGTAAAATGCAAGGCAGTTCCTTTTCACAAAATTAATGAATTCTTTGCATGATAACTATTTGGTGATTTTATTTTATCAAAATTACTAGACCTCCAAAAACATCTTATTGCCCCTACCACTGGAGTGGAACTCAGACCTGGGAATTGTTATTCTTTACCTATGACATAAAAAAAAAAATTGTTACCTAAGCAAATGAATGAGTTGACAAAGTTGATAATTTTGAGATTTTCTGTTTTAATAAGTTTACTTATTTGTCCATAAATAAAATATGAATTGCATTTTGAAGCTGATTTATTTAGAGGTACAAAATTACTGCCTGTGTTTTTATAGAAGCAGAATAGTTTACCCCTATTACTGTAATGCTTTGTATACAAAAAGAAGAGTATTATTTCTGGATAAATTTGATCAGAACACTTAAGTGGTTTTGCTTAATAGTCATAAATAATATAATAATTTTCAAGATGTAATATGCTTTTAAACTGTACAATCAATATGTTAATAACAAAAATCCTGAAATGCACAGTGCCCATTTTAAACTAACCCTCGAACTAAATAAAATTAAAGACTTGTCATCTGAATTAGTACTGAATCTTTAGACTTGAACTTGATATGTATTCATATATCACACTGACTTTTGTGACCCCAAAATCATTAACATTGAAAGCACTACCCAGTTACCAGCCAGAAGAACTGAAAGGCACCTTTCTGCTACTTAGGAACCCTATTTCCTCAAGAGTTTCCCATCCTTTGTCAGCTCTGCTTGGCTCATCTCTCTCCTTGGCAGTATTTTTGGCTCTTCAGTAGAATTTGAGTTGGGGCATACTGTTCTATCTTCAAAGAAACACATGGATGAGGGAAAGAAGAGAGAAACCTGTTTTTACAGGGACAACTTGGTTCTAGACTTCAAGATTAAAAAGAACTTGTTAGCTCTAACTTTTATAGACTTAGTGACTTTGTGGTTTGACCTCCAATGTGTTCCTAAACTTTAGTTTTTCCTCAAATGGCTTTAAAAGTAGATCTTCTAGTTTAAAATGATAATGATTACTTTCAAGTACTTTTCTTGTTCCTTTCTTGCCTGCTTCTGCCCTTTCTGAAGAAAAACATCTTTCCCATCCTTAGTCTACTCTTGGTTTTCAAAATACTTTGAAATACTTCTCTGAAAATCTGTATTTTTCTGAGAAATATTTTGGTTTACAAGAAAGAGTAATAGTGTTAAAGGCTATAATTTAGTAGCTAACATAATATTGACAAAGAAAATGCTTTTTCTTAGTAGGAAAATATCCTGTGGAGGATGGTAAGACTATAAATTGTGCCTTTTTTCATATATGTGCAGTCAGAATTATTTCCTAAATTTTTTTTAACTATTTTTACAGTCCCAGTGGGTCTTTGTTATCTTGCTTGGAGCAGGTTAAAACATACCTGCTTACTGACGGAACATGCAAGTGTGGCCTGGAATGTCCTCTTATTCTTCCCAAGGTAACCATTTCACAATAGATCTATCAGCCATTTATTTTTTTGGTACTCCATATATTTGCTTTTCTCATTTGACATTTCATTTTATATTACTACTCCAATATATATGCATTTGAAAGCCTTTATCTAACTAGAGATCTTTTGCATTTGGAATGCTTAAAGATTGTAGAAAATAGTTCAAGTCCAAGAATCATTTTCAAAGGTTACAAACCTACATTCACATTAAATATTTTATCAAAACCTCCTTTGCACCTTTTTATTAAACCTATATCCATGCTCACTATTTAACAGTATAATATTTTCTTTCCCTACTGTCACTGTTCGCTCTGCAATGTTATTTTTAGCACTGGTGTTGATATAACTGCACAAATACTTCTAAAGTCACAAAGCTGAACCTCCCTAGCCATAAGTGAAACTGTTTTACTGTTTGCAAGGTAAAAAGTAAAATCATTGTAAATGGTAAGATGTTACTTACTGTAGAAACAAGTCATTGTTCTCTGAATATCTTAATTATAGTGCTAATTTTAGAACTGAAGATTAATAGACAACTTTTTCCTTTTTTGTGTGTCACCTCATTCCCCCAAAAAAGCATTTTGAAACAACTTGTAAGTATATACACAATCAATAAGATTTTGAAAAATAGAATAATAGATTTTTTAAATCAGTGAAAAGGTAATATTAATAAAATAAAGCCAAAGAAAAAGTAAGCATGTAGAAAGATCAGCTAGGGTTTTTCATTCTACTTCATCTGTTTTTGTACTGTTACAGCATCAAGAAGTATCTAAAATTGGGGACATTATCAAATATTATACTTTCCATATATTGATGGTGGCTCTATGAGAATCGAGATAATTTGCATTATTTTCCTTGCCACTAAAAGTCATGAGTTGGGCAGAAATATTTATTACATTATGAATAAAGTTGTTTTTCTTAAATTTAAAAACTTCAGAAGGTTTTATTCAGATATTTGAGATATTCAGCTTCAATCTATGCAAAAAAATTTTTTTCAACAAGGTAACTTTTTAACTAATGTTTCTACAGACATACTGTAAACAAAGGCTGTACTTTTTCCAGGTGTTTAACTTTGATCCTGGAGCTGCTGTGAAACAAAGAACTGCAGAAGATGTTAAGGCAGATGAAGATGTCACAAAGCTATGCATACATAAAAGAAAAATCATTGCAGTGGCTACACTTCATAAAAGCATGGAAGCCCCACATCCTTCTCTGGTGCTCACCAGTCCTGGAGGAGGAACAAGTATGTAATATACTGAAGGCTTTAGGAATTTTCCTCCCCCACTCCTCTCCTAGAGAAGGAGTCATTAGAAATCAATTTGCCAAGCATTCTCCGAGTCCACTTTTCAAACATGCACAATGCTTTTAAAGTTATATATGTTTTATCATTTTATTACAAATAGCAAATTAATTCTGAAAAATTCCCATCTTCCAAAATTTCCTATCCAAACCATCTAGTTAAAGGAGCAGAGTAATTAATTAACACATACAAATGCTATACAAATACCTAGAGCTGAGCTAACAAAAGAGAAAGTGCTATTGGTTTTTAGGAAGCAAATGTAGCCTTTTTCCTAAGACAGGACTGGAATGTTTGGCATGAAGTCCTGAAATGCAAATAGCAATATTGTCAAGATCTAGCAGTGTTATTCTTTCAGGCATTTGAGAGCTATTTATTAAACACCGTGCCAAGAACTTTTTATACCTCCATCCAACACCTTAACACATGTGTGCATGCTTTTGTTTTTCAAAAATGTGAAAGCTGCAAAAAAAATTGCATGAATAGTTCATTGAGTACCCTGTACCCTTCACCTAGATTCACCAATTAGCATTTTGTTGCAGAAGTTGCAGATACTGTGAAAACTTACCTTAAATATTTCAACACACGTGGACATTCTCCTACATAAACCACAATCTAATTATCACATTCAGAAAATGAAATACTGATATAATATTATTATTTACTATGCAGTTTATTTTCAAACTTCTCCAATTGTCCTGATAATTTCTTACAGTTTTTTAAATTCCAGTCTTTTTAAAAATCTAGGGTGCCATCAAAGATTAGGCAACTACAATTAGTTGTTACATTTCTTTAATCTATGTCAATTCCCCAGTCTTTTTAAATCTTTCATGACATTGATGTTTTCAGAGTCCAGGCCAGTTTTATGGATGTTCCCCAGTTTGAATATGCTTGATTGCTTCCTCATACTTATTCTCAGGTTGAACACAGTTTGGTAGGAATACTACATAAGCGATGTTACGTACTCATTAGGAGGAGCATGATGTCAATTTCTTCCATATTGCTAACATTAAGTTTAACTGCTTGGGTCAAGCTATGTCCATCCGATTTCTCCAGTGTTACTCCAAAGGTACCTTTCCTTTTATGATTAATTTGTAACTTCTGTAATTATACTTTGAGACTGAGAAAATTCTTTTTTGTGAGGACTAGATTATGAACTCCTTCCAAAATATAATCCATTTAACACTTGAACAGTAATTCAAGATAAAATAGAGCTGAGCACCAAAGTGCTTGTTTATGAAAGATAACCAATACTTGTATCTATAATCTGTAGTGATCAGAGAAGGCTTTATGGTAAAACTCAGACTTGAGCCAATCTTGCAGAATGGTAGGATTTAGAAATACGAGGGAAATAAGAAAATTCTTATCCAAAGTGAGTATAACATAATTAAGGGATAATGTGGAAACTAAACTGACTTGAGTGGAAGATTAAACCTACGTAAGTAAACTGGGGCCAAATTATTGACAGCTTTAGATACAAAGAGAAGCAATTTTACATTGTACACATAATTAAAGATTCACACTTATTCATGTGAAGAGGGCAGGGAGTGACAAACTTTGCAGTTATTAGCAAGAGCTCCTCTCCAATATCCCTTTAACCTTTAAACTTCAGCAGGAATGATCAGAAAAAATTGCTTCATGAATGTAAGGAAAAAAATCTTTTAGGGAATTTTTCTTTTAATGAACTACATGTTTAAATGAAAAGATATTGCAACAAATTAAAGTAGTAAATTATTTAAAAGTTGCCATTATCCTGCCACCTAGCTGTAACTATGTTTTCATTTTTGTGTATTCCCTTGCACAAATGTTTGCACATGCTCATATCTACTGCCATTCTCACATCACATTATATCAGTTTCACCTCCTTCTATGGAGTGGGCCTTGATGCCTTTTTTATGCCCCTAGCAGAATCTTGATCTAGGTCCTTCGTCATACCCTATACATACAAGTTTCATTGTTGAAATGAGCAGTAAATATTTAACTAGTACAGGTAAAAAAGGTTTATCTTCATCCCCTTTCACAATGGTATGCTTTGTGGGATTAACTGCTGCTCTTTTACTAGCTTTCATCACTGCATTTATTTCAATTTCTAATTTTAAAGTACATTATAAGACTGAGATTTAGATAATTATAAGTGAAGAGGACATACAGTAGTTTTTACCTCTCTTTGTTTTACTTACATAAACATACATTTTGTTTCTGTTTATTCTTTTGAAAAGTCTACTTGAATATACATGAAAGCACTTGACAAGTGCATAGCATTTACATTTGCCAACTCTTATAAAACTGTTAGTTCCTAACTATAAGGTAACAATGTTTGTCTTTTTAATATTCCTGTTATTTTAAAGATGGTAATTATTTCTCCCCAGGTATGGAAGAAATACTCTCAAACACAGCTATTATCTAAATTCTGTTGAATGTAAAAATGACAATGTCTATACTTTTAATCATTCAACTGTAAATTGTTGTATAAATACCCAGGAAAAGACACAACTCACTGATTTTGTTACTAAAGAGGACACAGTCCATTCCAAAATAATGCTAGTGATACTAACACAGACAACTGTTTTCACTATATGCTAAGCACAGTACCCCAAATATTTTTCATATATTCTTTAATTACGAATTTTGAAAATCTCTCTCTAATAAGAAAATAAGTTCAATTGAATTTATCTGCTGCAGTTCTCTTCTATCACTGGTTCTCAACTTTTCATGTATTATATCCAGAAATCATTCTATCTATCTCTACCATGCTAGAAACAGAAAACCCATGTTTCCCAAGAAAAATACATATGTTCATTGCATTCTTTTACTTCTTGAATGCACCCTGTCTAGAACTGTGTACCCCACCCAGATTGAGAACCACTGCCTTAGAAATTGCTATGCTATTATTTAACCTATATACTACCTTGTACATAGGAATATATTTATCTTAAATATACAATTATTCATTTAAGTAAATACATACATCTCTGATTGCAAATGAATCCAAATATACTCGCTAATATATTGTAAGCCTCAGAATTGGAATGGTCGATATATATAGTATGAGTGATACCACTCTCATGCCCTGCACCAGTAATGGACTCGTTGGCATTTTCCCATGGAGCCCAGCTAGAGCTTAGCATCCTTTTCAGTATAGCTCTAAGCAGCTGATGGGAACTGGCATATAAAATCAATTTTATTTGCCATCCCTGTTTTAGAAGCCACAACTTCATAAACATCCTTAGGGACTAAAAACCTTAAACCTAGAATTCTGACATGATAGAATGAAAATTGTATGCAATGAGCCAGCTTGTTTTTGTTGCCTGTATTCTGTCTGATCTCCAAAAGAACTGAAGGGATTCCAAAAAGCCAGGAAGGAAGAAGCAGTGCACTCTATTAAAAGAGAATACTCTATTGGAACCTAGTATTGAACTTGGTACTGCACTCTGACCAGATTTTACATATTTTGCATAGGAATTCTATACTCATAAAAAAATTGCTATCTTTTACCTCAGCTGGTTGGCTAAGGCTAATTTTTACAATAATAACTGATTAAGGGCAAAGAAATTGCAGTGTTACAGTCTTGATGAAGCTGAGCATGAGTGCAGTATCACTGTGCTTACTGTTGCTATCACTCCCAATATAAAAGATTCTGAATGCCATTCACCTTAATTCACAAAAAATTAAAACTCTTTTACTCTCACGGTGAAAATATTTGGATAAGGAAGACTTGGAGTAGCTGTTCTGAGGAAGTGTCAGTAAGGTAATAGAAATATTGAGAGGGTAACAACTTTTCTGGTGAAAATGGCAATCCATTTAAATCACACAAGAAAATACTATGCCACACAGATTATAATTTTCTATTGTAGCTGTGCTCTTAAAGAATTCAAATCCAGCAAGATACAACATTGCCATTTCCAGCTGGTCAATCTTAATTTTGCATATTATGAATACTATTAGAATGGCTAACGTCATTCTGTACTGATTCAGATCCCCGTCATTTCTCACCAGATGAGAGGTAAACAAGCATAAGGAGCAGTTATTGAGAACCTTTGGTCAACTGAGGGAGAATAATGTGCATTTTTCAACCAATGTTTAATGTTGAGTACAGAACTTTATTTAATTGCGTAGAGTCACAGCTTCTATTTGCAAATTTCTATTTCTAGATGCCCTCCCTTCCTCATTTCCTCCTTTCCTTCCCCTCCCTCCCTCTATCCCAATACAAAAGAACTAAGACTAGTAACAGAAATTTTTTTTCTCTTTCACATCAGATGCAACTCCTATAGTACCTTCACGGGCAGCAACTCCAAGATCTGTAAGAAATAAGTCACATGAAGGAATTATAAATTCTGTGATTCCTGAATGTAAGAATCCTTTCAAGTTAATGATTGGATCATCAAATGCCATGGGAAGGCTCTATGTACAAGAACTGCCTGGAAGCCAGCAACAAGAACTCCACCCTGTCTACCCCCGGCAGAGATTGGGCAGCAGTGAACACGGACAGAAATCTCCGTTTCGTGGCGGCCACGGAGGCCTGCCCAGCCCGGCATCATCAGGTTCCCAGATATATGGAGATGGCTCGATCTCTCCAAGGACTGACCCACTTGGAAGCCCTGATGTCTTCACAAGAAATAATCCTGGTTTTCATGGAGCTCCCAATTCTAGTCCTATTCACCTGAATAGGACTCCTCTTTCTCCACCTTCAGTAATGCTACATGGTTCTCCTGTACAGTCATCCTGTGCAATGGCTGGAAGGACTAATATACCTCTCTCCCCAACCTTGACTACAAAGAGTCCAGTAATGAAAAAACCAATGTGTAATTTTTCAACTAATATGGAAATACCACGAGCAATGTTCCACCACAAACCACCCCAAGGCCCACCTCCCCCTCCTCCACCTTCTTGTGCTCTTCAGAAAAAGCCATTAACATCCGAGAAAGATCCACTTGGCATTCTTGACCCTATTCCTAGTAAACCAGTGAATCAGAACCCTGTTATCATTAATCCAACTAGTTTCCATTCAAATGTCCACTCTCAGGTACCTGTGATGAATGTAAGCATGCCTCCTGCTGTTGTTCCTTTGCCAAGTAATCTCCCTTTGCCAACTGTAAAACCTGGTCACATGAATCATGGGAGTCATGTACAAAGAGTTCAGCATTCAGCTTCAACCTCCCTGTCCCCTTCTCCAGTGACATCCCCAGTGCACATGTTGGGGGCTGGAATTGGAAGGATTGAAGCATCACCCCAAAGATCACGCTCATCTTCCACATCATCAGATCACGGAAATTTCATGATGCCACCTCTAGGACCCCAGGCTACTTGTAGTGGTATTAAGGTTCCACCCAGGTCACCAAGGTCAACAATAGGGTCCCCAAGGCCATCAATGCCATCAAGCCCTTCTACTAAGTCCGATGGACATCATCAATACAAGGATATCCCTAACACATTAATTGCTGGAATGAGTAATGTACTAAGTACCCCAAGCAGTGCAGCTTTTCCTACTGCAACTGCCGGAAGTGGTCCTGTAAAGAGTCAGCCTGGTTTGCTGGGAATGCCTTTAAATCAGATCTTGAACCAGCACAATGCTGCCTCCTTTCCAGCAAGTAGTTTACTCTCAGCAGCAGCCAAAGCACAGCTAGCAAATCAAAACAAACTTGCTGGTAACAACTGTAGCGGCAGTAGCAGTTCCGGAGCTGTTGCTGGCAGTGGCAACACTGAAGGACATAGCACTTTAAACACCATGTTCCCGCCTGCTGCCAACATGCTTCTCCCACCAGGGGAAGGGCAGAGTGGTCGCGCGGCACTCAGAGATAAGCTGATGTCTCAGCAAAAAGACTCATTGCGGAAGAGAAAACAGCCACCTACCACAGTGTTGAGCTTGCTCAGACAGTCTCAAATGGATAGCTCTGCCGTTCCTAAGCCTGGACCCGACCTGCTGAGGAAGCAGGGTCAGGGTCCATTTCCCATCAGTTCAATGTCTCAGTTACTACAGTCTATGAGTTGTCAAAGCTCTCACTTGAGTAGCAATAGTACCCCGGGTTGTGGGGGCTCAAATACTGCTTTGCCTTGCTCTGCTAACCAGCTGCATTTTACCGATCCCAGTGTGAGCTCCAGTGTGCTTCAGAATTCACTGACACAGAACATACCGTTGAGAGGGGAAGCCGTGCACTGCCACAATGCAAACACTAACTTTGTTCACAGTAACAGTCCAGTCCCCAACCACCATCTTGCGGGTTTAATAAACCAGATTCAGGCTAGCGGGAACTGTGGGATGCTCAGTCAGTCGGGCGTGGCTTTAGGAAACTCATTACATCCCAATCCACCTCAGTCAAGAATCTCAACGTCCTCCACACCAGGGATACCAAACAGCATTGTTAGCAGCTATAATCAAACAAGTTCTGAAGCAGGTATGGTTTTATTAGAAAAAAGTACCCAAAGGTACTAAACTTTTCTATGTTTTTTATAATTTGTACCAAAATATTTATTATGATAAGAAATGATCCTTTCCCCATTGTGAAATTCTCATCATTTCTTTAGTATTTATGATTTTATTTACAGAATGCTAGGGATTTGTCTACTAGAAAAAATAGCTAAGGGGAGTCCATGTGTTTCCGTTATTTGTTGTCAATCTGTGTCATTTTGAATTTTGTTCGACTTTGATTTGGTTATCTCACCATCAGACTCAAAACTACAAAAGAAGCCATAGAAGGCAGGGTTTCCTGGTTCATGAAACATGTGCTTGGCCTATGCCAATATAAGTCGTTTCCCCTAGCTTTTGTTTGTGTTCAGGTAAATGAAGCTCATCTTGAAAAAACAAAAAAGCAAAAATAAATGGATTTTTTTGTTCTTGCTGCTGATCAGAAATAGGCAAATGGATAGGAAAAGGTCTCTAGAAGTTTGTATGAAGTAGAAAGCTATCTTCTAATGTGTTTTCTTATCCTAGTTTGCTATCCTTTCTTACTATTTGTTTGAGAAAATTCAGAAGTGGATATTGGCTACTTCCTTTTTAAGAAAAGGTAATAATTTAAGTTTTCTAATAAAAAAAGGCTTGAAAACCTGATTTCCAGAATTTTTTATCTTGAAATTGTTTTACAATTTTCTTATAGAATTAAAACATTATTTTTAGCATTGACATTAAGGTTTTGAACCCAAATTTATTGTGTCTCTTCATCCACTATCAATGAAGGGGACAAATTTATTTAAAAGTGGACACATTAGAAAGAACTGTATTTTGTGCAATAGAGTTCTCAGAAATTGTTATAAAGAAATGTTAGAAAGCACTAAAGAGGTAAATCCACTGAAACATCAGAGAACTTGACCTTGAAAATTTTAGAAAGAATATGTAAAATGCAACACTAATCATTTGAGAGATTTGTGGGAAATGTCAGGGAGGAGATAAAAGATGATTGCAAAGACAATATTATTCAGATATGAAAACAGCAGACTTTAAAAACCAGGTTGCTACTGGAAATGAGAAAACTGCTAAAGCTTTTAAAATAAGCTATCATGTAGATATGTATCGACTATATTATACCACCATGCTGGGAAAACATTATAACCTACATGTCTTTGTTGCTGTTGTAAAATCAAGTGTTCTCTTTCCTGGGGGAGAACTTACACCTTCCATCCTTCACAATTTGTGTTATGTTTTATGTTTTGATGTCAGTATTTAATGAAGAACTGTTCATTGGCCTTTTGTGTTAAAAAGAATATAAGGTGGAAAAGATAATTGAGATGATTAGTGCCTTCTGAATATTCTTAGTCTAGGGAATCTCATGAAACTATTTTTTATGTGTTTAACAGGATACTTATTTCAAAGGCTTCCAACTTTTCATCAATTCATGTTCCTTTTTAGATAATTCCACACAAGTGAAAATTAATCTTATGCACTTAGCAGATTTAAGTTACATCAAGTCAATAACTATTTAAAAATGTACCATATTTATTAAGCATACCTTCAATCATTTAGATGAGACATTGTTGGTCTCACTGTATTATATCTTAAATTTTGATACCCCTTACCTCAGCTACTTTGTTTCAGGTCTAAGTTCATATTACAAAGTGTATATATTTTATTAATGATGTATTTTGATTCATCTATAATGAAAAAGACCAACATATATTTATATTCTTGTCTCTTCTGATTGTCAAGGTTAGACTTATTTTATATAGTGTTGGACATGTATTTTTTGTTCCATGCATCGCTGTAAAATATTGAATCTGGATTGGCAGTGCTGGGAGTGTCAAAACACACAGGTTGAAAATTTATTAATGTAAGAAAAATATTAGCATACAAATAGCTAAAAGGGACAAGAATAAATGTCTAGTACTGATGTGGATATGGCCAATCATGTGTAAGCTAACTGAAAACATATTTGATAGAAATCTAGGTCAGTAAGAATTTTTAAAATACTGAACCTAATAAAATTAAATAGTAATTAATGTACATAGATCTCTTGTGCAGCTGGTTTGAAAATGGGTAGATTCCTAATTGATGTAACTCTTTTGATAAGCTAAATATTGAAGAGGTCACTTATACCATGTTTCTTTTACAAACACAGTGAACTGTGTCAACTGAATGTACTGTTCTTATAATTGCTTAGTCTAAATATTTATTTATGGTGGTATTTATGCATCCATCAAAATAAGCACCAAGGCTGGGCATTCAGAGTAAGACAGCAGATGACAGTCACAGCTGTCCATGTAAACTTTGCTAGGTATTCCTAGCATACCAGAAAGACATTAGAAGGAAAACACATTTTACTCATAAAATGTTGCTTATAGCTATCACTGATTACCTATTACATGCCAAGTGATTTACCTGTATTATTCCTAACTTGTGCAGTTTTCCAAAGAATTGGGCATTATTGTCCACATCTTACAGTTAACTAAATTAGGCTCAGAGAACTTGGATATCTATCCGAGATCAGGCATAACTGAGGTAGGATTTGAACTCAGGTTCATCTGATTCCAAAATCCATTTTCTTCCCAGCTGCCTAAGTGGTCAAAAACTTTCACTTTCAAAGTCTTTAAAAATATCCTGCAGACACTGAATTAAAGCATATTGTTTCATGTTAGAAGCCACATTTATTAACTTTTGATGGACTTTTAGAAAAATTCAGTTATTTTTGTCTTCTCTCTTTGGATTCTGATACCATAGTATACAGTGACTAGGGTGTTTGTGCCAACACAGATGACATGTCCGGAAAACTAAGAGAACTAACTGTCCTGCATTGTGAATCACGTTTAGTGACCTTTATTTTAATGAATTTCTATCACCTCACTTAATCAGATAAGAATGGGTTTCCTAGTGGGTGACATGTCAACAGACTTTGTCAGGAAGTGATTTAGCAGATGCTAGTCCTGCCATTCCAAACATGATAGCAGAGTGAGGGTGAAAGAGACCCACAGGTAACATGATGGTCCCACTCTGTGGTTATGGAGCCTGGACGGAACTCAAGTGACGTGCTCAATCCAGTGCCTTTTTTCTACTCTCCTAAGCAGCAGCTCGAAAATGTTACATTAAGACCTCATTTAAGACAAGAAGTCACTTGCTCTGAAAATGCTTCACTCAATTGGTAATGTATTCTCAAAAACTTATTTTAAAGAATTTTCTGTCATAAACAACCCAGATATTGACTTTTTAGGCTTGAAAGTGAAGTCCATGGGACACCTTTAAAATGTATTACAACTCAAATACGGAATTTGGAGGCAAAGGTAGTAAAAAAAAAATTAGATAAAGGATATGAAATGCTTTCAAAATATTTCTAAAACTTAAGAATACACAAGGCTTTATTAATTCTATTTAGTGTTTTGAAATGGCCTTTCCATTAAAGCTCTCTAAATACTTTGCCTTTTAAAGTTTACAGATTCCTATTAGCGTTTTGGATATCGATTACAAGTAAGGTTTAATAGTTCCATGTAACAGGTTTAGAAAATGACCACTAGAATACTTTATGACATTCTTCAAGTTGTAAAGTAAAGTTCTGGTGGACTTAGCAACCAAACCCCAACCCCAAAGTTCCTTATTCTCAGTCCAAGTACTCAAACTGCTGGATACACATATGCTTGGAAACCCATCAGTTGTATACAGTTAAAGCAGCTTTCAGTATATGGAGACAGACAAGTTTTAGCATTTAAGTGCTTCTAGGATGTGTCTGTGGTGTTTTGGTTTAGGGAGAAATCCAACACTGAGTACCCTTGACTGGCTTAATTCCTCAGACACGTGCCTCCTGGGGCTTCTGACTGCTTCCATCCATATGCTGTCCATATCGCAGAAACATACATGCCAGAATCCCAGGCCTCTCCAGGGACTTAGCTCTGCCAGCGTCTACTAACCTGGGCCTCTGCACAGGACCTGGCTCTGTCAGTGTTCACATGGCAACTCATCCCTTTCAGGGCCCCATAGTTTTTCACCATTTTCAAAGAAGCAAAAATATTTAGACTACTCTGTTAGCCAGCTTATCTTCCCTTCCTCCAATATGATAAAGTCATTAAATAGAACTTTTTCCTCTTTAAAATGCTTTTTATATTCTCTTGTTTTTTCCTAATAAAACATTTAATGAGCTCTTCTAAACACATGAAAATATAATCCTCAAAAAGGGCAGAGTATGAATTTGTTCCAGTAAACCTATGAATAAACATATGTTCATGGACATTTATATATATATATATATGGACATTTTTATATATTTTTTAACTCTGGAAAAGAGAGTGTTTTCTTTCAGCACAAATACATTTGATTGAAACTCAATACAGCCATTGATATGGTAGGTATTAAAAAAATGAAATAGAGACCACAAATAACACTTTGGATAAAAGGTTGCAAAGTAATGAACTTGGTTTTTTGTTCTGTATATTTACCTATTCTTAAAATGTGCCAGTAAAGAAAACAAACAGAAATTGTCATTCCCTGCATTTGAAGTTACAGCTACCAAAGGATTACAGGATGGAAATGCTGAAGGGTGGATTGTAGCCAGCCCTCTCTGGGTATGGGAAGTTTGTGTAGGAAAACCTTCTAGTCTTATATAGACTATGCAGAGAGAAGAATGGCAGAGGAATAGTTGCTATTAAAAATGTTTCCACCCCAACTTTTAAATGCCTAGATTTTATCCCTCGTGTAATATACAAGTCTGGTAGGATTAAAATTGCCCTCTGCTCTTCTTTTCTAGCCAAATACCAAAATTATATTAGAGTCTTGATTATGTGATAAAATCTGTATCTATTCTTCTAGTTAAATTTTTGCAAAATGAGCCATTTCTTCTTTGCTGTAAGATATTTTACAACAATGTCTTTCTGTTTAAGAAGGTTTCCTTATATCAGGGTTACACCACTTGTGTTGTTTACATATTCCAGGTTTAATGTTTCCTTGTGTACAAAGGAGTTAAAATATGTTTGACTTTGGACC